GACATTTTCAATCATTCAAATTGCATTAGAGCCGGAATCCGGTAAAATTGAGAGCATTTTATGAAACACCATTACTCACAAAAAAACATAAATAAATAAAATTTTCATTTTTATTCCAATATCTTTTTGGATTATATAATGTTTAGAGACTTGTTCGATATGACAGATCGTTACAAAAATGATATATATATTTTGTTTTAAATTTTATTTTAAAAGTCAAAAAATGAAAAATATATTCAAATGTAAAAGTCATTCGCTATTCTATTTGTCATTTGAGCTTTAAAATTCTGTAGGATAAATAAATTATCTCAAAAGAGTGAATTCACCAAAAGCATCATACAATTTTTATTTGTAAGGTAAAAGCCAAATATTTCATTATTTTTGTCAAAAAATTTATCCATTCGCTTAGTAAGTTAAATAAAAAAATCAATTCCTTATTAAATATACACCTAGCGTCTATTATAAAACGTTGTTATAAAGTGTTAGAATACTCTACAACATTTATTGTATTAATATATATATAGATAGCACGTGTATTCGAATATTTCTAAGATAAAAAAGATATAAGATAGAGAAATTGCAGAAAAATAAATATAACGAAAGTCGGAGCCTATTAAGAGAGAATGGCAAGGCCAATTCTTTAATCTCTCGCCTCATTTATTCCAACAGTTTGACAATTTCCATTTAAATCACGTTTAAATGCGCGTGTTCTAATTACCAGGCTTTTCCAGCAAAATTAGGTACATGCTTGCACGTTACAAGCGCACCCGTGTGGCATGCAAGCGCGTGGGCGAATATACGGTAGATTGTTCTCAAAAATCTGCATATACTAGTGTAGCAGAGTTTAATTTTCGAGATTTCAAATTGACTTCTTCATTGTCACATATTTTATTCTAGATAATTGTCATCTCATAAGTTTTTAACGGATAGTTACATAAACCTTCAAATAAAATTTTCATTATCTTTACGAGAAATTTATTAATCAAAAATTTATTTAAAAAAAACAATGGAAAAATTATCCAATCAAAAATTAATCAAAATTAATCAAAGAACCAATCAATTATTGACTGATTGGTTCTTAAGTTTACTTTGTTTAAATATTTTTACTTTCAATATTAAATAATTTAATTCAGTAATCTAACTGTGATTTTTAATTATTAAATAATATATGATAGAGAAAATTACATAAAACAATCATATACGAATTTTTTACTACTCGATATAATTTGGCAGTCAAAAAGTCTGTGGACTCCATTGCCGCCGTCGACTGATGCAAAAAAAAAAAGATAAAAGGGATGCAAAAGTAAAAAGAAGTGGGTCAGCTGCATACAACTTGCGTTTATATAACGTACGCGTCCATAAATCCAACAAGCATCGCGTTATGTCTTTTTTATTAAAATAATGTAATATTTAAAATGTAGCCGAAACTTTTTAGAATGTTGTTGTAACTACTGTTATTTTTTCGAAACAAAATTCATAACTAAAGTAATAATTTATTATATATTGCATCGTATACGAGACTATGCTAAAACAAAAGTCTGAAAAATTATTATGGCATTACGTATCTGTCACTATAGCAGTATAATTTGTACATTTTGTCTTGTTAAATTTATGATTTCCATGTAACAAATTAAAAATAAATTCTCCTCCCTGGCTATTAGCTATAAATGCTAAATTAGCGTTCATTATTCAACAATCAATAAAATGTGTCATTCATATTTGTTCTAAATTTTCATAAATAGTACGTAAAGACATTTTCTGTTCGTATATTGCGATTAACATAACAACGCATTTTCTAATGCGTATGCCGTTTATTTCGCGCGTGTTTGTTTATTGCAATGTTTTCTTTGACTGTCGCGGAGGTCTTAACCCTTCGAGATACAACATGAACATGTAATTTACAAGAAACGCGAGAGTTTTTATCCCGACCGACGTACCACTGTTACCTCGGTCAAACCTTTTCCTGACAGTGAGGGATTTTTCCGTCGTGTACAGCTACAACCATTGTCTGCCATTGACGAGCGGATTTTTGCTCGCTTCTTGGCTTTCTGGGACGCCTTTACCATTTCAAATAGAGAACGGGTGCCCCAGAAAATATGACGTCTGCGCGCCGCAAAACTTCGGTGCAATGTAAACGAGCGCTTTTCATTCTCCAGCGGGATTTAGCCGCCCCGCCTTCACCATTTAAAATAGGGAATGAGCGAAATACCTCATGCAGTTACACCACCGTATAACTAATTTTACGTCTTGATGGTTTGCTAGACATTACCGTCGTACAATACATGCAATTAGAATAAATGGCAATAATATTATAGCACGTTATATTTCCACGGTACACTATTTTTCTTATTTCAATTCAAATTCAGTTTTTCAGCTAATTGCAAATTTCTTTTTCAAATAAAATATTACAAATTACCGTTAAAAAAATAGATAAAGTAAAATAAATTTAAGCAAAATTTATGCTAATATAAATTTGCAAAGAATTAGTTACAGTATTTTTGTAATGGAATTTCCTCGATTACAAAATTTGATTGCATATTCTATCTATGTATCTAATCTGCGAAACCTAATATAAAGCTATAGATAAGAAAGCGATCATGTATATAATCGTGTATGTAAAATGATCAAAATGTCAAATTAATACTAAAGCAACATGATGTGTAATTATTAATGCAGGAAATAAGCCATCGAAGCAAATAAGTTAATAATCAAAAATAGCCTCTAGCGTTGCTCAAACAAGCGCTCGTTTCACGCCTTATCGATGCAACGCCGTCCGCCATTTATTTCTCCAAACAAGATTTCATTCCGCGAACGATCTTGTCTCGATCAAGACATAATACGTTGGAATTTATCGGGTGCCAAGAAGAGAAAAATGCCCGTAGATCGATAGCCCGAAGACTCGATCTTGCGTCCGGGACCGTTGGTGACCCGAGGGTATTTTAATTAAGTAATTATCTACGAAATCACATGTGAGCACGTTATCTCGATCGAAGGTCTACACCGGCTCGTATGTTTCCCTGTCCTCTAAGTAATAAAACTCTGGACACACCATATGGTGCACACGATCAACGTATTAACCCTTTGATGGAGGCCACTAGCCGAAAGATATTAAAATGGTATTACACCGTAATAAAATTTGTTATTAGAAAATACATTTCATCGTTTAGTTTGTTATAACATCGTTATTCAGGCGTATAATGTGGACATATTTTTTCTTGTAACACGCAGAAAAATGTTATGTTTGTTAATTATTAATAATACTCTTCTCGATTCGCAATTATATTCTTAATTAAGTCAATATCAAAAATTTTTTAATAAGATTCAGAAATGCGGAAAGCGAGTCACGAAAGTCCTGCTATTTACAATTCATAATTTAGCTATTGACTTATAAATTACGAATATATGTAGAATCTCGAGTTAATAAAAGAAGTTAATAAAATAATTCGTATCTCTTTTTTTTAATAAGTAAAAAAAACTCAAGATTAAAAATCAATATTATTCAATCCTAAAATCCCGATTTGCTTAACAATCAGAGAAATTATGCAGCCATCACCATAAGTAAATGCCGAGTTGTATTCACGTTATATTGCGAAATTCGTTTTCATTTTAATAAAGAGAATAGCTAACTTGCGATATAAATCCCGGCTTATATAATTCTGCCTCGGGCACGGAAGCGTGCAGAGAAGGTTCGCTATGGAGAACAAGCGAATAGCCTAATTATTAATCGCTCACCCCCGCTCACTCGTATGCAATATTCGAGAGTTTACTCAAATCTGCTTTTAAAGCTACCAACGGCAGCAAATTAAATATGCTATACAGATAACTCACTAATAATTTTAAAGAATGTATCAAGCAATTTGATTCAATTGTTGACTTTAATTCCTGTTTAATAATACGTAACAATAACATATGCTGATTCGACAATAATGACTATTTTGATTTGTAATTCTGTTGCCCATGAAAAATTATACAATTTTGCTGTTTGTGGCTGTTGTTAATCGCAATTTAAGATACAATAGTGTTATAAATTACTTATTATTTTAATGGAATTTATAAAATGCTTGTTATTAAAATTAAAGTAAATAATTTAAATAATAAATATAATTTAGCAATTATTTCAATTTATGAAAAAAATTTGCAAACGTTAATATTTAATATTTAATTTCAAACAGAAAGCAAACGGAAATTTGATAAAAAAGTGAAGAAAATATTAGGAATGTATATGCACAAATGTATTAAGTAAAAAATGCTATTTTAAATTTAATTTAAAATTTAAAATAATATAGGAAGAATGAGAAAAGTTATAATGTACACTATTTTTTCTTTTTTTTGGTGCTATGAGAGATACTTTTTACAAAGTCATATTTGAAAGACACTCAAATTTTACGTTATTCAATGAAAGAAAAGAATTGTTTGATGAAATACGCGCCATAAAAGCGAGTCGATTATATGAATTGCTGTATAAACAATTGTCAATCAATAACCCCGGCTTTTTCGTCACACTAACGAACTGCGTACCTAAAACCGTACTTTGACAATTCGCTTCGTTGCCAAAAACATTGGCCAATTTAATTTATTGAGAAGATTAAGTTAAAGATATATTTATACGCATTTTAAAATAATATTAAATATATTTATAAAATTTATGTCTTCAGAATTTTTAAATTAAATCTTTTATAATTAATGTTCCTAGAAAATTTTATTTTATATACCTATTTCATTATATATACCTATAATATTTATCCTAATTTCTATCATTTTACGGTTTAAGAATAAAAAATAAATAAATTGCATACATTTGCGCAAATTCTGAAATTGCTGACTTATAAGATGAGTAGAAACTAAAATTATTTCATTATTTATTTGTAAAAATGCAAATCCTAAATAAAAATGTAATTGTCAAAGTATAGTTTTCAGGAATTATATGTATAATAAATATTGATAAATAAAAGAACAGTCAATTTTATAATTATACAAGTATAATGAATAAATTCACTCACCGATTGTTGTACTCTAGCTAAGTACGCTCTCTCAGCTGTACCTGAAAAAATATCAATATATTTTAGTTCTTATAAGTATCATACATTTTATATATGTTAATTATTATGCATTATTATTTATATATTTCCATTTATATTTTATTCAAGCATAACTATATGCAATAAACTGTGTAAATAATTACTTATACATTTTATAATAAATATTCGATAAATGTTTAATATTTTAAATATTTTTTCTTAATACACATTTAACAAGTACAAATTGTATATATGTACATTATCATAATTATGCAATTATCAAATTTAAATAGTAAATAAATAATTATATTCACCAGCTAGAGTATTGCAGTGTGTTTTATAGCTGCAGATTCCATTTCAAACCGTTTTACGTCAGCTTCATTAAAGAATTGATGAATATTGAGAGCTCAAACTACTAAAACAGACAATATTCAATAAGTATTTTAATAAATATCTTAACAAATATAATGTGTGTATATTTTTACTTGTGTACACATGTATTATCACAATATATTGTCTACATATTTAAGAATGGTATTTATTAGATTAGATTACCTTATTGTCGTTTGCTGTACGTACTGGACTTTTGCTTTACAATTAGATTACTCGAAATTGATGAATATCGAAAAGCCACACTTATATACGCGTATTATCGAACACACGAAATTCAATCGATGCACTTCACTTACTCGAAAATCATACACGGATTCACGTGAGGAATTTGTTACACTGCGATACACGATAAATGCAAATACGAGATAAAATACATTTTGTGCTGTAATGCACTTAAAACGAACAAAACGACGACTGTTTTGGTGGTCGCTCCATAGATTGTCCGGTACGACAAACATAGTACAGCTACATTTTACTGATTTTATTCCGAACCGAATTTTTAGTATGTACATTCAATGAAGTAGTACGTGTACATCGCGTCTGTACTCACTGCAACTGTATCGGTTACAATCCACAGTGCATTGGACTAACGAAATACCATAAATCGCGAGCGCGTACATGGTAAATAATACATTCCGACAATCGCCCGTCATTTTAATCGACAGAAATCCGCACTTGTTACGCAATCGTTCAACGGGCAAAATCACAAATCATTCGTACTTTCCGTTCAAAATCAAGAAGAAATTACATTCAAATATATACAAATACAATTAAAACAATATTACGGCACGTTACTTTAATCGGCACTCCCGGCAAAAATACAGATTTTAGCACTTTTAACAGATAAAATACGCGGTTATAATCGCGAACATTCACACATTTCGAAACGACACAGCAAAACTAGAAACTGCTAGAACTATTATGGCGGTTGGAGGGAGTTCGCGTCACTTATGGTAAATCTCGATACCAGACGCGCCATCCAGGCAGCCTGGTATGTAGATGTAGCTCATTGAGTCGCGGCTCACTCAACCGCGTCTGCATTTTGGGCTCGCTGGATGGCGCGCTGGTATCGAGATTTATGATGAATGACGCGTAACCCCCTCCAGCCGCCATAATAGTTTCTAGCAGTTTCTAGTTTTGCTGTGTTGTTTCGGAGTGTGTGAACGCTTCGCAATTAATCGCGTATTTTATCCGTTAAAAGTGTACAATAAGTCTGAATTTTTATCGGAAATGCCGATTAAAGTAACGGGCGATTGCGGGAGTGTATTTATTGCTGATGTTGGCGATTAACGACATTTAGTCGATCGCCGTACCGTGGGAAATGAAAACGGCGCGAACAAATCCGGTGAGTACGGAATTTCGATGAAAATGATCGTTCAAAAGAATCGAGACGCTATTGCCAAACAATGTACTACTTTATAAGAATGAGGTATCTTGAATATTCAGTTTCTCGGAATCGGGCAGAACATGAGAGTTGTTATGTTTTCGGTGACAACCTTGGCGCGACTGCTAATGTAGTTGTGTAGTTTGTCTCGCTCGCTCGAAGAATGTGTTTACTACGCGTGTGTTTACTAGACGCGCCGTGCGTATCAGGTTACTATTATATGCGCGAACGCGACCGCGGCAGAAAGTGCCTCTTTTATTCTTTTAGATCTCATTTCGTTTACGTTCGTGTAGCGTGGTGTAACGAGTGCGCGACGTGAATCCGTGTGACTTTCGCGTAAGTGAAGTGCGCGGCTTGTGTTTCGTTCAGTGCGGATTTCCGGAATTCATCGATTTTTCGATGGAGCTGATAAAGTGGGATCCGAGGTGGAATCTACAGCGGCGAAGCAGACTACAATACCCTAGCTGGTGAGTATAATTATTCATCATTCAAGTATGTGATTGCACATATACACACGTTACAATTTGTATTCGTAGAATATTTGTTAAGATGTTTGAAAATATTTATATTAGAATATTTATTAGAATCTTCAAATAATTATTTACTCAATTCATCGAATGTACTTATGTTCTAATCAAAAGTATTGAAATAATATGTAATAATCAAGATGCATAAAATGTGTGATAATTTATAATAACTAAAATGTGTATTAATTTTTCCAGGTACAGCTGAGAAGGCGTACTTAGCTAGGGTACAACGACTGGTGAGTAAATTAATTCATTATACTTGCATAATTATACAAAATGCTGATATCATTCGCTATCTGTGCTTCATGGTGCCGATGAGCCGCAGTGGAATAAATTGCAATATCCTTGCTAATGAGTAAAATTATTTGTTTATTTTTTAAATATGCACATAACTGTGCTGATATATACATATATATACACAATTACAATTGGAAACTTTATACTTTTATTTTATTTCAATTTTTTTCTTGTGCTACCTTGCCACTACTTTACAATTGTCTTGACTCGCATGATCACGTTAGAATATGAAAGAAAGTAAAAAAGCAAAAAATTATTGACGCAATATTATTGATCTATAAAAGACCATAAAAGTTATCTGTCTTTTATCTTTTTTCTTCTATTTTTATTATTTATCTTTATTATTATTGTTATTATACTATTGTTATCTTTGTTCTTCTATCTATTTCTATTATTTTAAAGCCATTACATTTTTTCTATATTTTATTCGCTTGCTTTAACACTGTAACATAATTAGAAAAATGTGAAAGAGTAGGAAAAAACGCAAAAAGTGAAAAGAAAGGGAAAATCAAAAGAAAAAATATGAAAGTTTGATTCTTATCATCGATATAATCTTATCATCGATTATCGTAAACTTTGGCACTTGCAGTAGCTACTAGAGAAATGTAAACGGTTATCTCGTTGTAAATTCTGGCATGACATTCGCAGCGGCGTTTAAGGGAAATAAAAGCTGCATGGAGCAAAATGGGAAGCAGAAGGTTTCAGTTTTATTGACATGACTATAAGATCTCTTTTGCTATTTTCTCCTAGACAGAACGTATATAACCATTTTCGAGCTCTGATCAGAACTTCTTTTCTGCGATTTATTTGTATTTACACAAGGTGTGCTCTCAGAAAAATTGCGGTATTGAAAAAATAGATATTAAATTAAATACAGGAAACTTTTATTGATTCTTTTATAAACGCAATATTTATATTTTGATAATGTATATGATAGTTTTCATAGTTTTTTAAAATTAAATTACAGTAATAATTTATATATATTTTATTAAAAAACTTTAAATTTTAAAAGAGTATAATGGAGATATATTTCTAAATATTTGTAATAATGAAAGAACCAATATATCTGAGAGATTCGTTCACATTTAAAACTGATTTAAATAGAGTTTGTCACTCGATCTGTTGCGCCACTCACTTTATGCGGTCATTTTACGCGGTGGACATGTAAAAAAAAATGTATAGGTGCTATTCACCCGGGAATCGATATTTCGCTACGCGCCGCGAAGGAAATTCTACGAAATAAAAGTGCTCTCCTCTCACGCACATGTAATTTTAATCCGTGCAATATCTCGGTGACTTTTTTTTCGCCACTTGGTGATGATCGGGTCGATAAACCAACCACCGTTTTATCGGGTCACGCTCGTCAGATTCCCGAACCTGTAATAACAGGCTGCGTGCAGAAGTCCGATATTTGCTAATAAACAGCCACTCTGAAAGTGTTTCCAATATCTGGCCGATTATTGCTCATAAAGTGTACATCCTGCCGAATGTACTTGGACGATGCGATGTCTTTGAGCAACAATGGTGCATTGTAACACGACATAAAGCAATGAAATACCGATACACGATGGTTTTCTTACGAATTTTATTGCGTACACCTTTATGCCTCGTTTTTATACGTCTCAGAGATTGTAATTCGAGAGGATTTACGCAAGGGTAATAATTTATTCCACTGTGGGTGACGCGCCCATTGGCATTCCCGCGCGATGCTTCTATTTCCTGCACGATTCGGAAGTGTGCGATTATATTTACATGAAAATCGCATAATCGTAACTTCGCCAATATTGTTAACATTCTACTTCTTGAAGTAGTGATTTATGCATATTATGAGCATAGAAATTGAGAGATCTTGAGTAGATTTCTTATTAGAAAAAATATTTTTTTATCCAAGAAGCATTTTTGATAACAATTTTATTAAATTTATATGAAAATTATCTTCTGCGAGTTAGTTTTTTTGAAGTGAGAATTTTCAAATTTAAGTTATGAAAAATTTGAACTTTAGATTTGTTTGCGATAGGTGTACAGGTTTTTTTTTAAATTGTAAGTTAACTATTAATTTTTATACATATTATAAAAGTATGTATGAAATTTATGTGAATCAAAGTGACAAATATAATTAATTGACCGAAGGTCACGCAGTAAACTCTCACAAAAAGTCCACGACGCATTTTATAGTCTAGTTTCAATTTCGGTTGACTAGTTTGTCAGAAGCTGTCCTGCCATAGATTGAACTCTCCCGTATGCAGCGCGTAGAGTTTGTCCCCGTAAACTCGATGCGTAATTGGATCTCCTCGCAGCGAGCATACAGCGAGTAATACATATGATGCGATTACATTGCGAGTTCTAATCACTTTTACCGCCGTAGCAATCTTGCTGCATCGTGTCGCGCGTGCTGCTTGACCGCGCGGGAAAAGCCGCGCGAAAACACTCGAAAATAGTTACCGCGATGTAATTAATGACATTTGCCAAAAGTAATGTATCAACATACGCAAAGTGCAATAACGTAATAGCAGCAGTAATATGTCGGGCATAATAATTTTAGAGTAAACTCACCTGCTAATTACTGCACTGTTGAGATAGCGCGAGCTTTTAGTAATACAAATCATTTCGGTACTGTTAAAAAGATTGTTAGGTTGGCTCAACAATGGCATATTAATTTGTATAATTGTTACGAAAATATACAAGTAATTCGACGTATACTATTATATGATTTGTTACATTAAATTAGGAATAATTCAGAAGAAATATTCTGCGTGGTTTCTTTTATAAAAATTTGACATTTAAAAGTTAAATTTTATGATTTCGATATTTTCTTAATACGTCACAGTATGCAAAATATAATGAAAAACAGATTTTTGTTTGTATGCTTAATCCGGCGAGATTTTAACAGACAAAACTCTTGAATGAGAATACAGATTCTACAGGCCGCTACGCTCGTTGAAATGCGTGAAAATACACGCGTTAACACGTTAACAACCGGAACCTGAAATCCGAAGCGTTAAGCTGTCGGACATAAAACGGTTGGTGGCTTCCGTTTAGCGCTTTTCCGCTCGGCGCGGCCGCGCATTACAGCCGCAACACTTTTAATTGCAAACTTAAAAGGCTCCTCGCGGATAAAGAGGTTGCTCAAGCAAGAGGTAAACTCGTTCCGCCACTTTTGCAAAGAATTAGCCGCGGGCAGAAGCGCTCGCGCGCGCAGATACAAAGTGCGCGAAACTTTATTAATGTTAAATTTGGTTTTATGATGCCCGGCCGATGCAACTTAAATTCGCTTCCATCTCAAGTGCGCGCGCGGACCGCCGGCTGCTGCGGAGGTCTCTTCGACAAAAGGCGAGGAGAGATTGTGTAAAGTGGCTCGTTTACGTCCCGGAGCTGAGCAGAATAGAACGCGAAGGCGCTCCGGCCCGGATTCGTAAACGGTTATTATTACTGTGAATCGCCGCAATAAAGATCGACGATAAGTGGAACGCTTATCGATGGGGATTTATCCGCGCGATATTTTCTATGAGAGCGGTTTTAACGTTGAAGAATGGATAATCTTCCTCTCCAGAGTAGATAACGATTTCCCCCGACGACGTTGATAGACCTCCTTTTGCCGGACGCAACAAGGTAAATGCGATTCCGATACTCGCGGTGATGTTTCCCGCGCGCACGCGAGATCCCCTCCCGTCTCTCTGACAACCCCGTGCCTTATCAACTATTCACAACTCCGCCTTATCGCTCAACGGATACAACTGCACATCGCGATTCCGCCGCGCGGGTCACTTTGTACTCACGCGTTTCCGAACTTGCCTGGAATTCGCGTTACAGATAGTATAGAAACAGAGAGCAACTGCGAATTTTGCGCGTTGAAAGCGCCTCGGGTCTCGCCGAGGTATCAGGTGTTGTTGTTTCCATTGTGGGGCGCGTCGGAACTTTTGCGAATTAAGTGACGTACCGCGTCCCGCGAGATTAATCGCGCTTTCGATTTAAACCAAACGCTGACATATTAATTTAAGATTAATCGATCAATAGATTTACATTTTTCGTGGCACATCTCTATCCATTATATACTCATATATTTATTACTGCATAAACGCATACTGAATCGTTGCATATGAAATAGTGAATATATTATATCGCTATTGGACGATACGTCTTTGCACAACACAGAAATTGTTAATATTTATTAACAATTTTCAGGAAATTTCCGAGAAAGTAAAATATTGTAATTAAGAAATTCAGTGGTTTTTATATTTCTTAGAATAAAGTTTTTGTTATCTTATTTAAAGATGTAAATTTGAAAGAATTGATTTAAATTTTAAAATTATAAAATAATGTTATATGAATTTCTTAGTTTCTTGCATTTTTTTAGAAATTTATCAAAATTTTAAAAATTACAAGCATTTTGATATCTTGAACTTTAATGTGGGATATAATATTTGATTATTAAAAGACATTTATTTTATTAGGGCGTTTCCATAAAAGTAAAACTCGCGAAATGTGATGCTTTGCATTCGATGATAATATAAAAGTGAATAATTGAATGTTTATTTGTTCAATAATCATAAGATGCATATAATTCTGAATTCCCTTTGAGACGCACTTTGCTGCAATATTCGACAGTGCAAAGCGGATGGGCATTTAATAATGCCTCCAAGCGTAGTACAGTGGGTCACAGTGCGGCTGGAAATGTAACGTCGATCGATGAGTTTCATCGAATCATTTTGCAGCGCAATATCCGCTATTGGCACGATCTAATTTGTTCGCTCCAATGAATCGTGGTCACTGACCAAATCATTTGTTTCATAAATTTCCGCCGTTCGCACGCGCGAGATATCACTTCATTTATTCATTTGCCATAAACATAATTTCGTCATTCTATATTTTCGAAAAAATTAAAATATATATCTCTTTGATATAATTCTAATTAAAATGTATACGATCTGTGGCAGTAATC